CTAAACCACACCGAATCACAGAGAGCTCAAAAGCAAACTATCACACTTTACACAAGAATGACATAAAAGCTGCACAACTGACTCACACACAATGCAAAAGCAGCTGGACTGCACACAAAATGGCCCTGTGAGGCACAGCTGATTGTCACAGCTGTTCATTGGAACCTTTTTAGGTTTTTTAAGCATCTTTTACTAATTAATAAATTAATAAAATGTGATGCCCCCTCCCCCCCGAAGGGAGAAACCCTGCCAAGGGATTGTTTGGAGCCTTACACACCAACAACAGGAGTCCTAGTGGACAACCACTTAAATAGGAGCCAGCCGTGAGCAGCAGCTGCCAAAAAGGCCAACACAGTTCTAGGCTGCATCAACAGAGGGAGAGAATCAAGATCACACAAAGGGTTAATATCTCTTTACAAGGCCTTGGTGAGGCCACAATTGGAATATTTGCATCCAGTTTTGGTCGCCACGATGTAGAAAAGATGCAGAGACTCTGGAAAGAGTGCAGAGAAGAGCAAGAAAGAGGATTAGGGGACTGGAGGCTAAAACCTATGAGGAACGGTTGCAGGACCTGGGTATGTCTAGTTTAATGATAAGAAGGACCAGGGGAGACATGATAGCAGCCTTCCAATATCTCAGGGGCTGCCCCAAAGAAGAGGGACTCAAGCTATTCTCCAAAGCACCTGAGGGCAGAACAAGAAGCAATGGGTGGAAACTAATCAAGGAGAGAAGCAACTTAGAACTGAGGAGAAACTTCCTGACAGTTGGAACAATTAATCAGTGGAAGAGAAGTTGCCTCCAGAAGTTGTGAATGCCCCAACACTGGAAGTCTTTAAGAAAATGTTGGATAGCCGTTTGTCTGAAACAGTATATGGGGTTTCCTGCCTAGGCAGGGGGCTGGACTAGAAGACCTCCAAGGTCCCTTCCAACTCGGCTATTGTATTGATTCCTGCAGGGTCTTATAAAATTCGGGGCCTGGGGCCTTCCCGTTCTTTCGTTCTTTAAGTGCTTCAGTTACTCCATCATAGTTATTCTGCATTTCTAGCATTGTTGCAGTTTCTTTGGATATCTGGGGTAAGTTGGGGAGAGGCCCGTTAGCCGCTCTCGTCTGCCAAGGAGCCGGCAAGGAGGCTGGAGAAGCAGCAGCAGCAGCAGCATCTCCCTTATCCAGAAGTGGCCAAGATCTGGCTGGGCATGATGGGAGCTGTGGTGCTCCAGAATTGGAAGGGGATGCTGGCCTGCCCCCTCCCTCCCAAAACCACTTTTGCAAACCAGGTTTTGAAAGGATGAGGGGATGATTTCCCTGGGATGATATAAGGCAGGGGTGCCCAATCTTGGACTTCAACTCCCAGAATCCCCCAGGCAGTGTAGGGTCTTAAAAGATTTGGACACCCGATTAAGGGGTTGGACTGGAAGACCTCTAAGGTCCCTTCCAGCCTTATGATTCTAGGACTGTGTTTTGAGGGGAGCTTGTGGCGCTGGATCCTACTCCTGTGAAGCCCCCTCTGCCCCAAGACCTGGATTGGTGCCCCCCCCCCTCCCCGGCAATCATGGCACACAAGGCAGATGAGGCTGCTTCATTAACCGACCGTCTCTCTGACCGTTCAGAGCCCAAATGACGGAGGGAGGGGCCTGCCTGAAAGACCAGGGGGAACCCCTCCCCCCGCCCGCCCCCCCCCCGGAATATTGTGGGTGTCCGTGCTGCTGTGGGCCGGGGGTTGCAAGAAAAGATGCCGGGGGGTCCCACCTGGATCTCAGCCTTCTGTGACCCCTGGCTTATTAAACCGTGATTAAGAGAGAGGTTTAATGAAATGGCCTATGAAACCAGGATTGCGAAAGGAGAGAGTGAAAGAGGGACCTCGGAGATCTTCTAGACTGAACTCTGCTGAGAGCCCAAACCAGCCCGGGGAAGCCGGAGGGTTTCTGCCATAGGAGAAGGGGGCTGGAAGGCTCCACCCCAGCGGGCCTTTTGCCCCACATGCCCGTCCCTGCTGGGTGCCGTGACCGGCGTGCCCCGTGCCCTTCCGAGGCTCTTGGCCCGACTGCCAGGCTCCAGGCGCTGAGGCTGCTCTGTGCCGGCTGTCACGTCCCATCGGCTCCCCTGGGCTGGCCAGAGAGAGGACGACAGGAAGCGTGCAGCCCTGGGGCCCTGCCAAGTCTCCCTCCCCCGCCACAAGGAAGCCGGCCTCAGGAGGGGGCCGTTTGCCTTGGCAGAGGCCGGACGGGGGGGGGGGGAAGGGGGCAAGGACAGGAGGGGGCAGCCGCCACAGGGCACGCGCAGGTGGGGCCCGGCTGACGCCTTCCTCTTCCCCTGGGGGGGGGGGGCAGACGCCCGGGACGTGTCCGCTGCCCAGGAGGACTCGTCTGCCCCCAGCGTGGCGGAGCGGCTGGGTGGGGGTGCCCTTCCGCTGCTGGCAGGTGTGCGGGCGCTGGCTCATTGTTTCCCAGCGCGAACGGAGGGCCGGCCGGGGCTAAATTTAGCCGCAGGCAGCCTCTCCTGGCCCCACTGATGCTGCGGCTGCGGCTGCTGCAGCTGCTCCCTGGGGAGGAAAGAAGGGGGCTGAGGGGGAGAGAGGGCGGAAGGCCTGGGCACTGCTGCTTCAGGTGGGCAGCTCCGCATCTTTGCCTCCAGGCAGGCTGGGCAGCCTCCCTGGGCCTTGCAGGACGGGGGCCGTGGCAACTACGAGGCTGGGGGAGGAGGCACGAGCCCCCCCACTTCCAGCGTCCTTCTCTTGGCCCCCCTCTCGCCTTTGCCCCCTTCCCGGCCCTGCCACTTGCCATGGGGTCTGGCGGGCAGCAGGGCTCCCCCTGGGCGGCTGCAGCAGGCAACGGTGGGGCCTGGGGAGCTGATGGGGGTGGGGGTGGGGGGGCTTCTGGGCCCGCAGCCAACAGCCGGCGGGTACACATGTGCAGCACCCCCCCCCCAGCCGGGCCTTTGGCGGCCCTGTTTTACAAGCGTTCCGGCACAGACTGCGGAGTTCAGGCATCTGGCTAGACAGATGTGCCTGGCTGGGCTCCAAGGCTGGGAGGGTTACGGAGGCAGGAGGGCCCGGGCACAGCCGAGGGGGGAGGGCTGAGGGGCCACCGGGAGCCCACAGGGAGCTCTGGAGGACACGTCCCTCGCGGGGCCCGAGCTCTGCAGGAGGGCCAAGCAGGCTGGCCGGTCTTTGCCAGGGCCACGCTGGGCACCCGAGGGGCAGGCGTGGACGCAAGGCCTTTGAGAGAGGAAGGAGCGGCTGGGCTCCCAGCATCCTTTGGGGCTCCCTGTGGGTTCAGGGGCAACGGCACTGGGTGTGTGTGTGTGTGTGTCTGTCCTCTCTTCCTGGGGGGCTGGGAAAGGCTGGGCCGCCCCACCGGAGGCGCCTCCTGTGCCCTGGGCGGCCGGCCGACGGGGCTGCACGCACCTGGATCTTGTCCTGCCGGCGCTGCTGCTCGGCCACCTTTCTGGCCAGCGCCTGCTTCTTGGCCCGCAGCTCCCGGATGTCCAGCTCACCACCGCTGCCCTCGGCCTCCTCCGAGTCGTCCGGCAAGGCCTCCATCTGGACGTCCTCCTCCTTCCAGCAGACGGGGGGGAGTGAAAATGAAGGAAGAGCACCATGGCAACGAAGCACAACAGAAGGAAACCAAACTCCCGCCCGGCCCCTCCCACTGGGGGGGAACTGGCTGTGGGTTGCGCAACCGCTGAGAGATTCTGGGGTGCCCCTAAACGGAGGGGAGGGTCTCTGTGCCCCCAGCTCCTCCGAGGCTTGCACAGGGCAGAGAGCATCCAGACGGAAGAAGGCTGGGGAGGGGGACCAGGGACCCTGCGCAATCCCCCCTCTCCCCCCCCCACCCCGAAGGCCGGCTGGGCCTTGCCACGTGCAGCTGGCTGGCAGGGAGGGGGAGGGGGGGAGCAGAGCCTTCCTCTTCCTCCTCCTCCTCCTCCTCCTCCTCTCCCGCACACTCCCGCGTGGCCTGCCGAGAACCCCGGGCTGCAGGAAGAAGCCGGGGCAGAAAAACAAGAGGCGAGATTCCTTAATCACATCAGGATGTGAGAGAGGCGGGGGGGGGGGCGGGGCGGGGGGGGAGAGTGAGCCCCCCCCCCAAGTGCCCCATCCGCCCCTCTTCCTGTACGTGTGCTGGAGGTGGCCCTGCAGCCTTTGCTCTGCGGCTCCCCCCTAAACTCCATCCTGAGCCTGAACCCTCCCCCCTCCCCCCCCCCCCCCCCCCCCCCCCCCCCCCCCCCCCCCCCCCC